TTTTCCTTCCACATGGGAGGTTCGACGTACAGAAGCGGAGGCTCCCGATCTTCCGGGAACAGGGGTCCTGCCTCCACCATCTCACCCTCCACCATCTCACCCTCCACCTTTTCACCTCCTCCCGTGGATTCGCACGCGTTGGACCAGCTCTGAGCCTGGGCCATGGCAGCTAACATGCCTTCATGCGCGGGCCGGAGCCGGATCAAGCAATTCCATCAACAGTCTGCTTTTGATTCCGCGAAAGCCCCGTCTGTAGAGGAGACAAAAAGCGGCATGAACATAAACTGTCGGAACTACCAGCGGACTTCTTGGATCGGCGCCGGAGGCACAACCCGGGTGCCCAGCGCCGCCCAAGAGATCCGTGCGGAGCAAGGGGGTGCGGAAAAAACGCGGGGATGCAGAGAAGCGCGAAAAGCGCCCACAGAGGAATGCGGATCCCCTGGCGCAGTTCTGCCGCAGCCGAGAGTTTACTTTTATGCGGTGTTTCCCCCCTTTCGAGTCAGGGTCGGAGGAGCGGCCCACGGCCGAGGCAGCGGGGTTGCCACGGGCCCATCGACGGCGTGGGCTGCGGGGAGTCGGCGGCGATGCGGTGCAGGACGGGCAGGTCAGGCGGCTGCGGGGCAACGACGGCAACCAAGTACGCACCCAGTCCACCGCGATGGCGAATCGCGGGAGTGTCGCGGGGCGGGGGCGGGTCGCGGTTGGGTTGTGGGTGGGTCGCCGATTGGTTGCGGGTGGGTCGCGGGGGTGGGTCGCGGGTGGGTCGCGGTCGGGTCGCGGACGGGTTGCGGGTGGGTCGCGGGTGGGTCGCGGGTGGGTCGCGGGCGGGTCGCGGGGCGGGTCGCTGGCGGAACGACGATAACGAAAAACAAACAACATAAACTCGCACCTCGGAATCCCACTTCAGCCACGCAACTGGGGACTGTGTAAGACCGCTCGGCCCCCACACCATGACATGTATCAATGTCCGACTCCAAGCGCCCGTCTCACGTTCACTTCCGCCAGCCTTCCGCCTGTGGAGCCGCCGCCAGTTAAACGTCCATCGTTTCCTCCGTAGGCGAGAGAGTTTCTGGCGTATATACACATTCGCAATTTACGCTTGTAAACACAGACATGGGCAAACTGGTTGGCAAAGTCGTCATGGAAAGACGTTGGGTTACTGTGAGGCGGCTGCCTTGTATGCAAACTTCTTCTGTTGCGCACCTGGGGCAAATCTGACTTGATGCTGGCCTGACCAGGGGGCAATTGCAAACGCCATCTGGTCTCAATGATGAGATCGACGGGCTTCACATGGCGCTGCTATGAGGTAACAACGGTGCACTTACGACTTCGGTGAAGTATACCTGGGGCAGGTCCGAGGTAGCCATCGCTTATATTTGAAACACCCGTGGATGGGAAACACATGTGGTAACGAAAACGCATTTGTGATGCAGCCATGGTCATCGTCATGCGCCACCAGGTGCCCCAGTGGGGGGAAAGTGTAGTCATGAGACGAATGTGGAGCACCCATCGAACAATGATGCAACCAACACAGTTCAACAAGACAATCTTTGATCGGCCTGCGCACACACACACACACACACACACACGCCACCCCCACTCACTGGACGATGCCTTGATTACAACAAGTCCAGGGCCCAAGCCAAACCTGGCCCAACATGGTAAGTACTGCCGAGGTGCCTGCGAACTTCATCAACACACAAGACGAGTCGTACGCCTGAGAGCACCGACGCAATACAACTCTCAGGCGGCCACAGAGTCACAACGATGGGATCTTTTGAACGGGAGGAGGCGCCTCGTCCAGCACCAAATACTTGCAGGCGCCCAACTTCAGCTGGCCACCTTCCAGGTAGTCGTTGAGGCGCCCAGGAGTGCCTACGATGACCTCCCCAGAGTGCTAGAGGCCATCTGAAGGAATTTGGACAACGTTAGGGAAGAGTAGAGAAATACAGCCATAAGAAACAAGGAGACAAGAAAAATAATGGACCGATAAAGAAAATAAACAACGAAACGAGAAAAATAAATACGAAAAGAAACGGAATACGTCGTGCGCGTACCCGTCATCCTCCCGCAACGGCCGAGTTGTTTCGAAATCGCATCCACACACAAACGGGCAATAATGTAATGCGGCCTACTTGTAGATTCGAGTCATGCTGTAATGCGTAAGTGCTTGTGATACATTAATGATGCTGGCTGGCAAAAAGAATCAATTCCGCTGTTCGCAGTATGGCTCAACGTGAGAGTGCGCGAGTTACTGCAAGCCGTCGCTATAAAGCCTCCTGTGTTAGCGCGCGGTCGTGCCGAAGGTGTATGCGGTCACGCGTTGAACGCCCGTCCCCGCCCCGTCGCCATGTTGCATTGCATTGCAGTGTGTTGCTCGGCATTGCCGTGCATCAGTTACTTTGCACTGCATGTCATTGCAGTGCTTTGCATTGTTCTAAATCGCTTTGCACCGCTTTTCATTGCCTTGCGCTGTGTTGCGTCGCTGCGAGTCGCGTTGATTTCATTTTCACAGGTTGTACAAATGTATCGCGTGCGATCCCCGCTGTGAGCGTTTCAACGCAAACGGATCAAGGATATATGTGAACTGGTTCGCATCATGATGGTACATCGCTGCTCAGTTTCGAACCCGACGTTGCGATTGATGCCTTGCACTTCGTGCCTTTTTTTACTTACGTGTGGCTCACACGACCGACCTGCATTCAAATAGTTTGCGACGTGTGTCAGACAGATGTACCGAAGGTTCCCGTAATTTTCTATATCTCCCAACTGTTTACAACGATCGGCTTAACAGGAAGACGCTTGCTGGCTAGAGTCGGCCTCGATGAATCGATATGCTTGGGGCCCTGAATTCTGGGATTGCTGCCGGCGTGCATGGGCTACCATATGGGGGCCCAGCTTGCCCGAGAGTCATAACCAAAAGAAGGTTGGGTGGAGGCTGACGATGAGGTGGAAGAGATTGGCAGTGCTCGGGGAGGTCGACCCGACGCGCGCTGCGAGCCGAGACCGCTTCTCAGGCCACAACGCCACTCGCGGGCCCCAAGAGGCGAGTATGATTGCGGACGGCCTCGGCGTGCTTACTCACTTCGTACGGCAAGCCTCCGGGCTGCGCGGCGAGCCGTTGGGTGACGATTCGAGACGCACGGATGTGAGAGGCCTCCAAAATACCAGAATCTGTTTTTTCCGTATTTGGAGCCCCAGGAGCCTCCAGGGGTCTGAGGGCCTCGGCCACATTGGAGCATCACAACTCACTACACAGTCCCATGGCAATCTCACCGTGCCCGTGAGGTGGACCCTGAGGTCCTGCCTTGCTGGGAAGGGCAGCGCACAGGACAATCATATACATCGAAAGGCCGACAGGCAAATCGCCAGAGCCGCGCGACAATGACCAGCGGCTGGGACCTCCACAGCATATGCGCAGTTCGAGGGGGAGCGAAAGAAGAAGGGGAGGAACAAACAGGCTGGCAAGTATTAGGCTGCATACCCGAGGCACCCCGGTCGAGCACAAAAGAAACAGCCGCAGGAGAGGAGGTCCACGGCGATGGGTAATGCATCCCAGGTGGCCCGAAACGCTACAGAACCTACAACCATCACTGACATGGACAGGAACGCAAGGAGGAGAGAGGGCGAATCAGCAATACTTGTACAGCGCCTCCTGCCGAAACAGAGGAGGCAGGCCAATTGCGGCCGACATCACTGCCACAGATTCCGATCAAGTAACTCAACGAAACACTAGACAGAAAGGTGAGCTGCGCCAGCCCGATTGGGGGGCAGCTCAAGCCCGCACGGATGCCAACCGCGAATTTCCGGGCAAGACGGGGCGAAACGTCCAGCAAATAGTCTTGGCGGAACACCGGCTCCGCCCGCGCGGAAGCGACGGGCCCGCGGGCAGATGGCGCGCGCAATCAAGAGAACCTCACTCCTACAGCGCAACGCCTCCCTGGGGGAAGGAAAAAACACACCATGCCAGACATCATGCAAGTAACAGCGGCACAACATCACCAGCGGCGACAGCCAAGGAGGAGGGGAGGGAATCAGATGGAGGCGACGCCCATGACGAGCGCATCGGCTTAGACGGGTCTTCCGGCTGGCCCAGATAGGCTGCACGACAATTCAAACAGGGAGGAAAAAAAGGAGGGAAGAGGAGAGACACGGGAAACCCTTGAAACGAATCAACCAAACTGTGCGGCACACAATACACCGGCACTGCAACAAGACGCGCGCAACCAGCACACTCCGTTTTGGTTGAAACCTGAGGTCGCCACCTCGGTCGCCGCCCCCACGGGGGGCCACAAGCCCAAGGGAGATAAAAGGACCACCCCCGACGACGACGACGACGACGACGAGGACGACGACGACGACGACGACGACAGGCGACGGCGACGACAACGGCGACGGCGGCGACAACGGCGACGGCGGCGACGACAGGGGAGGCAGGAGCAGAGGGCGGCGAGGAGGAGGAGGAGGAAGGGCGGGGAAAGGCGGGACGAGGGAAGGAGAAACGACAGGGGGAGGGAGGAGCAGAGGGAGGCGAGGAGGAGGAGGGGGCCTCCCTAGTACCAGAAATGGTGTTTGGGAAGGATTCGCGATTATGAGGGTGCGACAGTTAACTACGATGATTCGCGGTGCTGAAGTCCCAGAAATGGCGTTCTGGCACGATTCAGGATCGTCAAGACGCAACAGTAACAGTCAGCTTGATCCGTGGCGTTGGAATCCCGAGAAAAATGTTTTGGCATGCTTCAGGGTCTTCGAACGGTTGTCTTCCAACGAGGCAGGTCCTGGAAATGAACCGTTGTGGGGGCTTATGAAGAGGGAGCTTGGGGGGAGGGTTTATTCCAACATCGTTGGTGACTCTTGGGTTTACACTGGTCCTCTTCCTTCTCCTCCTCCTCCCCCTCCTGGTCGTCGTCGTCAGGCGGCCACCCCGCAGCCGCCGTCCCGTAGCTGCGAACTGCGGCCTTCGCCATTTTCGTGCTAGTCGTCGTGCTCGTCGTTGTGTTCGTCGTCATCGTCGTCGCCGTCGGCGTCGCCGGAGTCGTCGTCGTCGTCGCTCTCGTCGTCGTCCTCGTCGTCGTCCTCGTCGTTCTCGTTCTCGTCCTCGTCCTCATCCTCGTCTTCGTCCTCATCGACGTCGTCGTCCTCGTTCTCGTCCTCGACATCGTCGTGGTCGTTGTCGACGTCGTGGTCGTCGTCGTCGTCGTCGTCGTCGTCGTCGCCGTTGTCGTCGTCGTCATCGTCGTCGTCCTCGTCGTTTTAGTTGTCGTCGTCGTCGTGCTCGTCCTCGTCCTCGTCCTCGTCCTCGTCGTCGACGTACACGTCGTCGTCGTCGTCGCCGTCGTCCTCGTCCTCGTCCTCGTCTTCGTCGTCGTCCTCGTCGTCGACGTCGTCCTCCTCCTCCTCGTCGTCGTCGTCGTCCTCGTCGTCGTCGTCGTCCTCGTTGTCATCGTCGTTGTCGTGGTCCTCGTTGTCGTTGTCGTCGTCGTCCTCGTTGTCGTCAACGTCGTCGTCGTCGTCGGCGGCGGCGGCGGCGTTGGCGGCGGCGGCGTCAGGTGGCTGCCGCGCCAGCCGCCGTCGTCAGCCGCCCGCCCCTATCGGACGTGGCGGCCCTGGCGCATGTCCCGCAACTGCGGGCCCCGGGGCGCGCCGCCGTAGACGCAAACGGAGAGGATGCCGATGCGCCGGCCGAACTTCTCGGCCTCCGCCTGGAGTGAGCCCAAGCCCCCTCGACCCATGCCTCCAAAGCACTGAAAAAAAGGACAGCAATTGTTCCCAACTCTCCTGTGGTGGGCACTCGTTTTGAATAGAGCAGTGTGGCCTCGCCGCCCCTTGGGGGGCTTGCGATCTGCGCAACTGTCGCCACTTTCGAGGGCTCCTGGGAGGCCCAGCGGAGGTGGGTCCCACGCGGATCACCTCGGGACCTCGCCGCCCCCTGGGGGGCTTGCGATCTGCGTAACTGTCGCCACTTTCGAGGGCTCCTGGGAGGCCCAGCGGAGGTGGGTCCCACGCGGACCACCTCGGGACCTCGCCGCCCCCTGGGGGCCTTGCGATCTGCGCAACTGTCGCCACTTTCGTAGGCTCCTGGGAGGCCCAGCGGAGGTGGGTCCCACGCGGATCACCTCGGGACCTCGCCGCCCCCTGGGGGCCGTGAGTTCAACAGTGATACTGATAGTGAGATGGGTCATTTGTGGGATCGACAGTGGTATCGATAGCGAAATGAGATCGAACATGGGATCGAAAGTGAGATCGATAGTGAGGTCGGTAGTGAGGTCGCTAGTTGTGATGGATAGTGAGATCGATAGTGAGATCGAAAGTGAGACCGATAGTGAGATTGATAGTGATATTGATAGTTATATAGATAGTCAGTTAGTTCGATCGGAAGATCGATAGTGAGGTCGATGGTGAGATCGAACGCGATAGTGAGATCGATGGTGAGATCGATCGTGAGATCGACAGTGGGATCAATAGTGAGAGTGATAGTGAGGTCGATTGCTGTCTCGATAGTGAAATCAATCGTGAGTTCGATAGCGGGAGAGATATTGACATTGATAGTGAGGTCGTCGATCGTGAGATCGATTGTGCGATCGATAGTCGTATCCACCGTGAGATCCGTTGTGCGATCGGGAGTGAGATCGATAATGATATTGATTGAGTCAGACTCTGGTTCCTCTCCCCGACCCTCCTTACCACCCGCAGGGTGGTCGTATAGGTACGTCATATCATGTTGAGGCCCTCCGAATACGATCGAAACGCGGTTTTCACCATGCAATTGTTTAAATTGATTTGGCCATTTCCTATTGGTTGGTGTACTGCGCACGCAGAAGCGCGCGCGCCCGCACGTACGCACGTGCACGCGCGCGCAACACCAGAGACGCGTGTTGTCTTACAACACGTCATATCATGTTGAGGCCCGCAGAATACAAGCGGAATATCTGACTTTCACGGTTCAGCTTTCGAAGTCCAGTCGACAATTCTCTCTTGTTTTTGTTGTATTGCGCGCGCAATAAGAAGCATGTTGTCTTACAAGACGCCATATCTCCTTGAGGCCCTCAGAATGCGAGCGGGATAGTTTGTTTTCAAAGTAAAATTGCCCCCCCTCATTTATTTCATCATAGCGCACGCGAGAGCGCGGGCGCCCGCGCGTACGCGCAAGTTCGCGCGCACGCGCGCACAATAACTTTTTTTAGTAGGTTGTCCTACAGTGCGTCATATCAGCCTGCAGAAAACGAGCTCAGCGAATGGCTTTCACCATTCAGTTTTCGAAGTCACGTTGGTCATTCCCTGTTGGTTGTTGCAGTGCGCCCGCCTGCGCAAGAAGAAACATGTTGTCCTACAGTCGGAGGTTGGAGGGTGAGATCGCATTAGAACGGATAGCCCTCCACTGGGAAATCGGCTTCGGTTTCAACGAACCCTCCTCTGGCTTGGGCGCGGCGAAGACAGAAGTCTGCCACCTCCAGATGCGCGGTGGGCGGGTGCCAGGGGTGTCCCGCCGTGCTGTCCCGCAGTGGTGTCCCGATGGTGTCCCGTGGTCTCTCGATGGTGTCACGTGGTGTCCTGTGGTGTCCTGTGGTGTCCTGTTGTCCCGATTCGTGTCCCGTTGGTGTCCCGATTGGTGTCCCGATTGGTGTCCCGATGGTGTCCTGATGGCGTCCCGATGGTGTCTGGATTGTGTCCCGGTGTTGTCTCGGTTGGTGTTTCCATTGTTGTCCCGCTGGTGTCCCGGTGTTGTTTTTTGTGTCCCGATGGTGTCCCGCCGGTGTCCCACGATGTCCCGTGGTGTCCTGATGGTGCCCCGATGTTGCCCCGATGGTGTCCCGATGGTGTCCCGATGGTGTGATGGTGCTTCGGCAGTGCTCCGATCGTGTCCTAGTGGTTTCCATGATCTCGAGTGAGATCGATAGTGAGATTCGGAGGGTTAGATCGAAGTGGTCCGGAGATTGTGACCATCACCAGCACCATGGTCGTCATCATTCCTGCATCTCCTATGCAGAACACCAGTGCCATCGCCAACATCCTAATCACCTCAGCAGTAAGGTTTAAGCACTTCGCAGGAGCTTTCGGCCGACCGCTCGCTTCGCACTTACCGCGCGGCTCTGCCAGCTCACATGCCCCCGAAGAACACGCAGACGCTGAGGAACATGAGCAGCACGACCGCTTACTTCGCGAGATGGTACGTGAAGGTCTTCGACCCCAATGTCGTGGATGATTCATTCTGGTCCGAGGGCGAGAAGATCCAACCACAAAAAAGTCCAGTGCATGCTTGTGTCCAATGCCGCCGAGCAGCACCTGCTCGGGCTGGCACCCTTCGGCTTCAAGGACAGCAGTGCGGCGGGCAACGCGCTGGATAAATTCAAGGCTGGCTCTATCTGGGGGCTTACCACTCTTGGTCTCGACACCATGGCCTGGTCGAACTTAAACGGGTGCCCTCTCAAGTACGTGTCTTCATTTTCCAAACCAGCAACGGTCGCGAGGGTGCTGCCTACAAGTCCAGATATGTTGGCGCGTCCCTCCACGGGCATCCCTGTACACGTCGCGCTGGACATCAAGGGCGTCGTCGGCCTGCTGAAGGCCAGCGCCGTTGCAACTTGAGGCTCTGCCTACAGCGCTGCCGACGCTGAGTTTACGGATGCTGGCGGGACAGAGATCATGGTGGGCGTTTGGCAAGCAGCCCCCACCTACTTCCGCGAAGTCCCCGACGGGGCCGGCATCGCTGAGCCCAGGTGCTCTGCTGTGGCGGAGGGCGATGAGGTTCAGATCGATGCCTGGCCAGAGGCGCGCGTCTGCACCGCTGGCGGGCAGGCTCAGTCTCTGACAAGGCTGGCCGCTTCGGATGCCCAGGCCGAGGTGCTCGCCGCAACCTTCGCGCCGGGCGAAGGTTCGATGGCGCCGGTGGAAGCAGGGGCGCGCCCGACGCGCGCAACGGCTTCGCCGATACCACGGGACACCACGGGGCATCGCGAGACACCGCTGGACACCACGGGAAATCAAGGGACACCACAGGACACCATCGGGACACCACGGCGGGGACACCGCGGGACACCACGGGACACCACTGGACGCCATCACGGGACACCACGGGACACTACGAGACACCAAGGGGACACCATGGCGGGGCACCACCAGGGCACCATCGGGACACCAGTCGAGACACCGCGGGGCACCGCGGGGCACCACGGGACACCACGGGACACCATCGGGACACCACGGCGGGACACCCACTGTACCCGCCCGCTACGCGGCCGGGGGGGCGGACTTCTGTCTTTGCCGCGCCCTCGCCAGAGGGTTCATTCCTCGGCCCGCCCACGCAAAGTCGCCTCGCCCGCACTCACGACACGTAACCCGAAATCGAAACCGATTTCCCGGTGGAAGGCTCTCCGTTCCGCTTCGATCTCGCCCCCTGTCCTCCGACTGTAAGGCAACATGTGCCTTCATTGCGCGCGCGTGCGCGCGCCCCCGCATACACGATGCAGACACCAATGGGGAATGGCCAACCCAACTCAAACAACTGAATGATGATAACCGGTTGTTTCACCCGTAGATATAGTGAAGGCCCCAAGATGCTATGCACTGTAAGAGCACGCGTCTCTTATCGCGCAGTACAGCAATCCATAGAGAATGGCTTATATATATATATATAGGCATGTGTGTCTGTATATATATATATATGTACCAGATATTGTTGGCTCGCTTCGCTTCGCCACAACATCTTGTCCCTCATCCTCACCCTTGGCACAGGGGCGCGGGTCTGGTACCTCGCCGCGGTATGTGGTCACACCATGTGGCGAGCTCGTGAACTTTCATTGCCGTAGGGGTGTAAACTTGATGTTTGTCGCGAGCTCGACGGCTCAGGGCTGCGTGGGTGTGTGTGTGTCTTTGTAAGGAGTGAACATGTTTGGAAGTGAAGAACCACCCGACGGGCCGAACCAATTTGTGGTTCACGTCGACGGCTGTTTTTTTCTTCGGGGCCCCAGATGGGAGCGTCTGGCGCTCTGCGGGCACGCTGGCGCCGAGGGGCCGTCGTGCGCGTGCGTGTGTGTGTGTGTGTGTGTGTGTGTGTGTGTGTGTCTGTTTTCGTAAGGAATGAGCATGTGCGCGGACGCAGAGCCACCCGACGGGCCGAACCAATTTTTGGTTCATGCTGACGGTTGCGTTTTCTTTTTCGGGCCCGGATGGGGGGCGTCTGGCGCCCTCCGGGCACGCTGGCGTCGAGGGGCTGTCGTGTCGTGGGTGTGGTTTTCGTAAGGAAAGAGCATGTCCCGGGGCGCGGAGCCACCCGACGGGCCGCACCAATTTTTGGTTCACGTCGACGGTTGCTTGTTCTTTTTCGGGCCCGGGATGGGGTCGTCTGGCGCCCTCCGGGCACGCCGGCGTCGAGGGGCTGTCGTGGGTGTGAGTTTTCGTAAGGAAAGAGCATGTCCCGGGGCGCGGAGCCACCCGACGGGCCGAACCAATGTTTGATTCACGTTGACGGCTGCTTGTTCTTTTTCGGGCCTGGGATGGGGGGCGTCTGGCGCCCTCAGGGCACGCCGGCGTCGAGGGGCTGTCGTGGGTGTGGGTTTTCGTAAGGAAAGAGCATGTCCCAGGGCGTGGAGCCACCCGACGGGCCGAACCAATTTTTGGTTCACGTTGACGGCTGCTTGTTCTTTTTCGGGCCCGGATGGGGGGCGTCTGGCGCCCTCAGGGCACGCCGGCGTCGAGGGGCTGTCGAGGGTGTTTGTTTTCGTAAGGAATGAGCATGTGCGCGGACGCAGATCAGCCACCCGACGGGCCGAACCAATTTTTGGTTCACGCTGACGGTTGCTTTTTCATTTTCGGGCCCAGATGGGGGGCGTCTGGCGCCCTCAGGGCACGCTGGCGTCGAAGGGCTGTCGTGGGTGTGGGTTTTCGTAAAGAAAGAGCATGTCCCAGGGCGCGGAACCACCCGACGGGCCGCACCAATTTTTGGTTCACGCTGACGGTTGCTTGTTCTTTTTCGGGCCTGGGATGGGGGGCGTCTGGCGCCCTCAGGGCACGCCGGCGTCGAGGGGCTGTCGTGGGTGTGGGTTTTCGTAAGGAAAGAGCATGTCCCGGGGCGCGGAGCAACCCGACGGGCCGAACCAATTTTTGGTTCACGTTGACGGCTGCTTGTTCTTTTTCGGGCCCAGGATGGGGGGCGTCTGGCGCCCTCCGGGCACGCCAGCGTCGAGGGGCTGTCGTGGGTGTGGGTTTTCGTAAGGAAAGAGCATGTCCCGGGGCGCGGAGCCACCCCACGGGCCGAACCAATTTTTGGTTCACGTTGACGGCTGCTTGTTCTTTTTCGGGCCCGGATGGGGGGCGTCTGGCGCCCTCAGGGCACGCCGGCGTCGAGGGGCTGTCGTGGGTGTGGGTTTGTATACGTCGTCTCTGTTCGTGGAGGCCTCATGGATGGCTTCTCGCGGACGTCCTGGGGGCCTGTTGGGGCCTCTTGGGGGCCTCCTGGGGCTGTGTTCGAGCCTTCTGGGGGGTATCCTGGAGCCGAGGGGCCGAAATGTCGGGTCGGATCCTGTCGTGGAGCCTTTCTTTGAGCCGTCTTGAGGGTCTCCGGGGCCGTCTTGGGAGTCTCTTGCACCGTCTTGGGCCGTCTTGGGGCCGTGTGGGGCGTCTTGGAGGCCTCTTGGGCCGTCTTGTGACGAACTGGGGCATCTTAGAGCGATCTGTGGGCGTCTTGGAAGGCTTCTGGGGCCGGTCGGACCAGCTTGGCGGTAATTTCAGGCATTCTCGGGGTTGTCTTGAGCCCGTCCGGGGGGGTGGCGAATTAGGTGACGCCCATCCGGGGGGGGGGGGTCCCTTATCATTTGATAGGGAGAAAAGGAACATATATATATATATATATATATATATATATATATATATATATATATATATACATATACGTTCGTGTTCTGAAGACTTCCCCATGTGTTCCCCGAAACGTTTCCACAACGGTTGAGGGAACACATGACCCGATAGCTTGGCTGAGCTTTGGATATCTGGCCACAACGTTTGGCCACACAGGCGCTTCCAAAATGCAAGAGGCGGCTGTGATTCGCCGCCAGCGTCTTCGATTACGCACTCGCGCTGGTCTCCAGCTAAGGAAAGGGGGACAGAGCCGGGGGGAGGGAGGAGGGAGGACCTCCATCCTCGATTCGCCTTTTTTTCCATGCATGTTATTCCTTCTCCTGCCCATATGTGTATTTGTTCATTTCTGTTCCTTTTCGGGTGAATGTTCTGATATCTTGGTGTGAGTGGTGCGCAGCTCCGCGACACTTTCGATGTTGGCAGTCCTAGGAAACGCGAGCTCTCGCATGACTTTGCCGAGCGCGTGCCTACGCTGCAGCTCCCAGGAGCCCACCGAAGCGCGGTACCCTTTGCGCGCCCCGCGACCTGCGTCCGAATGTGACGATGAGTGAACTTGCGGGGCTGGGCAGGTACAGGACACGCAGGGTACCCTGCTGCGCGCGGGCGACCCCGAATCAGCGCTTCGTTGATCGCAGAGTACCCTTCGCCGCGGCGCCAGGGGCGCGGCGCCGATAATCACATACCTCGAAACGAAAGCAGCCCCCGAACTGAAAGGACACAAGGGTACCCCGCGGTGCGGCGCGCCCAGCACGCCGCGAGCTGCCCCCCCGACATCCGCAGAAGTCACAGGACTACCCTTTCCCCGCGAAGGCAGAGGACACGATGCGCCGATGCACAGGACAGCAGGGTACCCTTGCTTTGGCAGGCCCGACCTACTAAAATCAGCCCCGCCTCTAAGGACAAAACGATAGTGACATGTTTTCGGTTTTCGGCTCTCTTTGGACTTCCGGGAAACTCCTTGTCGCCACAGCTGGATCCGCCTCGGCCAGCCAAATTATTTGCAGTTCGGCTCTCCGTGGGCTTCCGGGAGACCCCTTGTCGCCACAGCTGGTTTAAGGTCGGGTATGTCCTCCTACAGGCGGATCTTGGAAGAAAAACGAAACGATGGGCAAAACATGTTCAGAAAGCAGTCTTGGCATGTCCTCCTGAAGACTATGTTTTGACGATTCTTGGACAGTGCTCCTCTAGAGGGACACACCCGCCTGAAAACTGGATCTGCCTCGGCCTTCTGGCCAGGGCGCGCCCCCCTGGAGTGCTCCGCGCCGGCTCTGGGGGGCGAGGGCAGGCGCCAGTTCTCACGAAGGGGCCCTGGGACATACAAATAAAATAGACGCAAATAACAGGATTCCCCGTATTTCCCAATATTTTCTGGGTTTTCGTCTTCCCCCCAATTCACATATTTTCCCATACTTCTCTGGAGATCGACGATCACTTGTGTCTGTGTGGTTTTTCCCCTCCTGATCCCAGCCCGCCCGCCGGCGGGCAGGCGGGCAGGCGGTCCGCGGCGCGCGGTCCTCTGCGAGCCCTCGCGACGCCGCCCCGGAGGGCATCTTGGCGGCCCAGACGGGGAGGGCGCAGGCCCAGCCCCGAACCCGCGACCCAGAGGGTCGGGACGGGGGGCGGGGGTGGTCTTTCGGAGTCCAGGAACGGAGAAGGCGCTCCCATCCCCAGTCCCGACCCCTTGAGTCGCCGGCTCGGGGATGGGAGTCGGGGCCAGGGGTGGGGGTGGGTGCTCGCCTTCTGACAGACCGCGATGGCATCTTGGAGGGCATCTGCGGCGCCGGGAACAATCGGAGCGCGGCCGAGCGGCCACCGGGGGAGGGCGGGAGCAGACGCGCCCACTTCGCACAAGAAGAGGAGCGGAAGAGGAGGAGAGGCGGCAGCGGAGAGGAGAGGAAGGGCGATCTATCTGCGCCACGGCGGGTGCCCCCAGAGCACAGGGAAGCTGGAAAAAGTAGGAGTTATCCAGTGAAGATGGAAGTGGCCAGGGACGGACACAACCGGAGGGGGCCGAAAGGGGCCCTGGTACTGCTGCGACGAGGCCGCCAGGGCCGGACAAGCCCGGGGGGAAACGGCCAGGGGGGCTCCTCCCCCTTCCTCCCCCTCGCGCTCTGTTACTGTTCGCCTCCCCCCTGTGTAGTCGACCGCCGCCGTCCTGCATGGTCTGAGCGGGCTCCTCCCGCTTCCTCCCTCGCGCTTTGTCGGCTACACGCAAGAGTGACCCTGGGTAAGAGTGACCTTTGGTGCGCGGCTTTTTGGGGGCCGCGGAGGAGCCAAACACAGGCGCGCAAGACGCCAATGCTGCCTCGCGTTAGGCGACCGGGGGACCCTAGTGGGCCCGCATCAAAGGTCACTCCGGCCAAGGGTCACTCTTACGCGTAGTCGAGCTCTGTTACTTTTCACCTTCGTGCCTCACTTCGCTCCTGGTGCGCCCCGCCGCCTGCAGACCAGCGTCTCTCAGTCTTTGGGCCACTCGGCGCCCGCGGACAAAACTAACACAAAAATCGGTCGCTCCCCCCCTCCCGGGCCGAAAAGCAGCGGGGAGGGGGCACGCGGCGTGCTTGCGCGCGGGGCAGGTCTGTTGGAAAGGTCCGCTGCGGCGGGGCTGGGGAGCGCGAGGGCCCCTCCCCAGAGGATCTTTGGAGGTCGAGCCTCCACGCTGGAGGAAAGAAAACAGGCAACAAGAACATGTGGAGCGGGGGAGCAACAAGAAAGCGCCTCCAGGATGGAGGCCGAGCCCCCGCTCCGGAGCTCTTCGACCCCCTGGGCATGCTTGGCCCCAGGATCTCGCCCATATCAGCGCGCCCCCCCCCCCCCCCCGAAACACCGGCCGCGGCGAACGTGACGGAGGTGAGCCGACAACTCCGCCCGCGCCCACGTCCAGTCGTGCGCACTCGCGCGCGCGCCCTGCATTTGCTGCCGCGCGGCCTGCCCAGACATGGAGTCCCGCGGATCCGCTCGCGGCGCGTCCCGAGCGTCCGAGTGAGGAGGGATATCGGGCGCGTGCGCGCGCAGCCGCCGTGCGAGCGAGCGGGCTCTGCGAACGAGCGAGGCAAGGGAGGGGAACGCAGAAAGAGAGAGAGAGAGAGAAGTCGGGCCTGGATCTGACATGCCAGCTCGCGCGTGGGGGCCATGACCAGCATCTGCGGCCCGGAGTAGTCTGGGCGGCTGCCTTCGTCTCCATCAGTCGTCGTCGTCATCCTCCTCCTCCTCCTGCTCCCCATCCACGTCTTCCTCGACCTTGTTGTCGTAGTCGTTCTCCTCCCTCTCCTCCACAATTGTTCCTCGTCCTCCTCCTCCTCCTCCTCCTCCTCATCCTCCTCCTCCTCCTCCTCTTCCTCCCGAGTGATCCCAAGCAATCAAATTGGAGGTTCCGACCTTCACTCTGGAGGCATTATTCCTCCATGATGGCCCCCGTTCTGGAAGCTCCAGGAGGCTGTGGATCCTCTGGGACCCCCTCCACCGCCTCCGCTTCCTGATCCTGTTTCTGGTTTCCCTCTTCCTCCTCATCCTCCTCTTCCTCTTCTTCCTAGTCCTCCTCCTCCTCCTCTTCTTATTATGTTTATTCTTCATCGTCATCAGCATCCTCCTCCTCCTCCTCATCATCATCATCAGCAGCATCATCATTATCATCACCATCACCACCACCACCATCATCATCATCATCATCATCATCATCATCATCATCATCATCATCATCATCATCATCATCATCATCATCATCATCATCACAATCAGCATCAGCATCAGCATCATCATCATCATCATCATCATCATCATCATCATCGCCACCAGCAGCAGCAGCAGTAGCAGCAGCATCAGCATCAGCATCAGCATCAGCATCAGCATCATCATCGTCGTCATTATCGTCATCATCATCACCACCATCATCATCATCACCATCATCATCACCATCATCATTACCATCACCATCACCATCCCCATCATCGTTATCACCGTCACCATCATCATCGTCATCGTCAGAATCATCGTAATCATCATCTTCAGCATCATCATCGTCATCATCAGCATCGTCCGCATCATCATCATCATCATCATCATCATCATCATCATCATCAGCAGCAGCAGCAGCAGCAGCAGCAGCAGCAGCAGCAGCGTCATCATCATCAGCATCATCATCAGCCCCAGCACCTAATCCTCGGGGATTGCAAAGTCGCTAGGAGACCGTGGCCACGCGGTGGAGACCCTTATCCTCCTCCAGAATGGGGAATGGGAAGCAAAGGACAAGCAGGATCAGAGGGCAGGAAACGGGGGGGAAGGGATGAGAGGACGAGAAGACCGACAACGAGGAAATGACGCAGATCGCCCACCCTAATTCCAGGACGTATGCGCGAAGGTCGGCCGCCCCGTCGCACCCTGCGCTCAATGTTCTGGGACGGGCCTGCGCGGGCCAATGGGCGCGCGAGAAAAACAGCGGTTCTTCTCTACTCGTGGAGCTGTAACGCCAAGGGGGACTATACGGCTACACTATACGTGGCAATGCAACGGGGATGAAACAAACATATTCTCTACGCGTCACATGACAACACGGGCGAGATGACGGCGGCATGAACATACTGTAATCTGCCCTGCTCGTCAAGTGGCAACGCCAAGATGGAGGGGGCGAACAACTCTATTACTCTACTATACTTGCTACGCGGCAGCGCCAGGAGGGGGGGGGTGCGGGGGTGGGCGGAACAAACACACTACTCTACTCTGCTCGCTACGCGGCAACGCCAGGGATGGTGGTGGAGGGGGGGCAAACCAAACATAAGGCTCGACCTTGCCGATCACGGGGCAGCGCCAAGGGTCATAGCACATACTGTCCTGCTCGGCCCGCGACGTGGCAAAACAAAGGGGACGAACCAAGCGTACTAATCTAGTCCCCTCGTCACGTGGCAACGCTAGCGAACGAAACCAACCACTGCTCTACGTTAAACGCGACGTGACAACGTACTGGTGCACGTGGAAATGTTAGTCAGCGCAGACCACAGACCGCGATTGATTGCAATAGATGCGGTGCAATCTACCTGATGCAATCAATGTGTACAAGCTTGAGTGTGCAACCCATGTCAAGTTAAAAGACCTACAACGCAATGCTAAGCAATGCGACGCAACGCAATCAATGCAACCAATGCAACCAATGCAATGCAACCAATGCAACGTTATGTAATGCGATGCAAGACAGTGCACATCAATGCATAGCATGGCGAAGCAATGCTACGCAACACAATGCAACACAATGCAACGCAATGCAAAGCGATGCCAAGCAATGCAACACAATGCCAAGCAATGAAAACCCACGCAATGGATGCAAACTACTACAACACAATGGAATACACATGCAAAGCAATGCTACCCAGCACAACGCTGATCAATGGAATGCGATGCAAAGCAGCGCAAGTCAAAGCATATCGAAGCAAAGCAATACAAAGCAATATCAAGTAAAGCAAAGCAGAGAAAAGCGATGCAAAGCAATACACCGCAATGCAATGCAAAACAATGTGTTGCGATGCATTGCAGTGCTACGCGATGCGAAACAATGCAACGCAATGCAAAGCAATGCGACACAACGCAACTCAATGCAACGCGATGCAAAGCCATGCAACGTAATGCTAAGCAGCCCTAAGCATTTCTAAACAATACAAAGCACTGTAACGCAACGCAACGCACTGTAATGCGATGTCGGACAATGCCAAGCAATGCAAAGCAAGGCAAAGCGATGCAAAGCAATGCTGGCAAGGCAGAGCAAGGCGAAGCCATGCAACGCAATGCAAAGTAACGCAAAGCAATGCGAAACAATGCAAAGCAATGCAAAGCCATGCAATGCGATGCAAAGCCAGCAAAGCAATGCAAATCAGAGCAATGCAATGCAGAATACTGCACAACTATGTAAAGCAATGCAAACAATGCAAAACAACGCGGCGATGGGTGGCGACGAGCCGGCCGGACGGCCGCTGGGGCCCAGCGGCGAAAGGCGGCGACGGGCGGCGACGGGCGGCGACCCGCTGGAACGCCACCGGGGCCCAGGGACCGTAGAACACAAGTAAGACCCCTGAGGTGCAAGCACTGTTTGGGGAACAAGGCCTCACTCCACGACAACCACCACAATTCAAACGACGACGACGACGACGACGAAGACGACCGACGACGGGACGCACGGCAACGAGACACGGCGACGATGTCGACGATGACCAGTACGACGACGACGACGACGACGACGACAACGACCAACGCGACGACGACGAATGTGATGACGACGACGACAATGACGACGACCAACGCGACGACGTCGACGACGGCGGGCGGGACCCTAACGGCCAGGTCAGGCTGGAGGGACCCCAAAGGGCGGGTCGGGCGGGCGGGACTCATGGGCGGGTCTAGCGGGTCGGGCCTTGACGGGTGGGGCATCAAAGCGGGTGGGCGTGTTTTCGAACAGTCCAGCTGGCAGGACGGGCGGGTCGTGAGAGCGCAACCCTTCCAGGCACGTCGGGCGGGCGGAACCCAAACGGGCGGGTCGGCGGGCGCCCAATCGGGCGGGCGGGCTTTTAATCAGTCCAGCGGGCGGGACCCTACGGGCGGGCATGAAAGCGGGCGGGCGGGCTCGTAATCAGTCCAGCGGGCGGAGCCCGAACGGGCGGGTCAGGTGGCGGGGCCCGAACGGGCGGGCTGGGGGAGCGGGACATTCAAGCAGGCGGGCGGGCTTTCAGGCGAGCGCGTGGGCGAACCCTCAGCCGGTCACGCGAACCGCAACGGTCAGACCTGGCGGACAGTTGCGACGGCGGCTAGCGGCTAGGACGACTATGACGGCGACGGCGACGGCGACGGCGACGGCGACGGCGACGGCGACGGCGACGGCGACGACGACGACGACGGAGAAGGAGGAGGAGGAGGAGGAGGAGGAGGAGGAGGACGACGACGACGACAACGACGAGGGCGACGACGACCTCGACTGCAACGAAACCATCAACGCCTCCTCCTCCTCCTCCTCCTCCTCCTCCCTCCCTCACTCTCTTCCTCTCTCCCTCTCTCCTCCACCCCTCTCTCCCTCTTTCCGTCCCCTCTTTCCGTCCCTCCCCCCCACCCCGTCGCTCGCTACACCTATCCTCTCACGCCGTTCGATCACCAAGAATACTTGTGTGTAGAGTCAGTAGTCGAGTCAATAAACTATTTCTCAGCCGGAGAAAACGTGTCCTGGAGGAGACGGGGAAACATCCTCGGTCCGACTGAACAAACGATGGCTCGGCCTGTTTTTCCTTTTTCGCCCCTCGACTACTGTCTCCAGAGGCCGACATCGGGGAGAATCGCCGGGATGGAGAAAGATCAATCCGATGAAGGTCTGGGAACGAGCACGGCGGGTGACGGGGTGGGGGGAAGGGTCAGGGGGGAGGGGGGGGGGGGGCACCGCCCAAAAGCGCTGTGAACGGCGGGAGCCTGGCTCCCAGAGGTCCACGGAAGGGGCCCAGAGGTCCCTGGGAGGGGCCCGGCGGGTGGAGCGCCTCCAGGAGGGAGGTCCGACCTCCGTCCCGAAAGCTTCCTGCCGCCATTTCGAGAGCTCGTCTCCTCCGAAACGAAAGCTCCACGCCCGCAGTGGAGGCGGTTATCAGTCCTCTGGGGAGCGGAGGTCCCCGGGGCGCCCGCTCCGCGGGGGGCCTCTGGGGTCCACGGAGGCCTCCCCCGGAAGGCGCGGCAGAGTGCGGCACATGGGCGTTGGGCAATGCTGGCGGCGCGAGGACGCGCAGGAGCCTCGATCCTCGACCCTTCCTCTGCGAGGTGGAAAGGTCCGTTCGCAGTGACCCTCGATCCTCGACCCTCCCTCCCCGAGGTGGAAGGGTCCGTCCTCCCTGATCCTCGGCCCTCGCCCCCTCCTCCTGGAGAGTCGAGGATCCAGGCGAATGGCATCCCGTTCGCCTCGATCCTCGATCCTCAGTCCTTGGCGTCGCCTAGGAACGTCGTGAACGGTGGGAGCAAGAAGGCCAGCGTCTTGCCGCTGCCAGTCTTGGCGATGCCGATCAGGTCGCGGCCGGACTGCGAGACGGGCCAGCAGTACGCCTGTCTAGAAGAGGAGGAGGAGGAGGAGGAGGCGAAGGAGGAGGAGGAGAAGGAGGAGGAGAAGGACCAGTGTAAACCCAAGACGCGTCAACGATGTTGCAGTAAACACTCCCTCCAAATTCCCTCTTCATAGGTCCCTACAGGAGCGCATGTTCATTGCGGGAAGTGGCCCATTAGAAGACAACCGTCTGATAATCCTCAATCGTGCCAAAACATCGTTCCTAGGACTTCAGCGCCGCGGATCAACGCCACTGTTGCGTACTGACAACCCTAAACCGTGCCAGAACACCATTCCTGGGCTTCAACACCGCGAATCAACGTGACCGTTGCGTCCTGACAATCCTGAATGCGCCATGCATATTGGTCCTTCCATTCTGGCACGCGGGCGCAATGAGAGAGAGAGAGAGGAGAAAAAAAAAGGAGCGGTCAGTAAAAAAAACGATAATTCCTTCTTGCAGTGTTCGTCGTCGTTATGATGTGTCGTTCCTGCCCTCATGTTCCATCTTCCTCTTTCTCGCCTCGCCATGCGGATCATTCTCCGTCCTTCTCAGTTTTTGTTGCGGAGGCTCCTCCTTGGAGAGCCTTGGGGGGCGTTCGAAACCCTTGCTTAGGGCCTCTTAGGGGCTTCTGGACGCCTCCTGGGCGCCTTTTGGGAGCCTCTGGGAGCTCATTCGGGCAATGTTGCTGCGAACCACGGCCTCCCTCAACGACTGGGTCACGATTTGGAAAGCGTCTTGAGGCGGCGCGGCAGCCTGCCGCGGCTCGCAGGCCCCGGACCGGAGGCAGCGGCGGCGGGGACAGCAGCGGCAGCGGGGGCTGGGGCCGCGGGGGCCGCGGCAGCGTCGGCAGCGGCAGCGGCGGCGGTGGCAAGAGCGGCAGCGGCAGCGGCTGCAGCGGGTCGGCGGCGGCGGGGCGGCACCTGGATGGGCGTCGGGGCCGCGAAGCCGAGAGCGTGGATGCTGGCCTCAGTCAGCGGAGGGCGAAGGGTGAACGAGGCCGCCGTGGTTCTTGGGAGGCAGCTCATAGGAGCTCTTCGCAGATGCGACTGAAAACTACTGAGCCCGAGGAGGAGGAGGGGGAGGGGGAGGAGGAGGAGGAGGAGGAGGAGGAGGAGGAGGAGGAGGAGGAGGAGGTGGAGGCAAAGGCAGAGGTTGGGGAAGTGGTACAGGGAGGAGGGGAGCAGGGGAGGAGGAGGAGGAGGAGGAGGAGGAGGAGGAGGAGGAGGAGGAGGAGGAGGAGGAGGAGGAGGAGGGAGGAAGGAGGGGAGATAAATGCGCGGAGGATGTGTTTTCATCCATCCCGTCGTTCAGCGCCGCTCTGGCCAACCAGGTGGACATGAGGACCCTTTGAATACTCAACTGCCGCGTCATTCAGACGGCGCCGCAGGCGAACATCTTATGGCCAAACCCTGTCAAAAGGCTACTACGCCGAAGTAAGCCACATCAGGCCAAGGAGCAAGCCAGACCGCGCCAACTCAAGCGGAACTCGGCTGGACCAGGCCCGACTTCGACCGAGGAAATACCAGGCCCGACGCTGAGTTCAGCCTCCCAGGAGTTCCAACCGAAGACCCTCTCGCGCGGGCCACATCCCGCCCTCCCCACCTCTTCCCCCCCAGGGTCCCCCCAATACGCGCTTCGCGCCCCGCGAAACGCGGCAACCTTCGCGCGGCTCCCGCGGAGAAGAGCAGCTCTCCGCCCCAGGCCGCGAGGCGCGAGCATCTCTGAAAATGCAGCCAGAACCGAAAGACCTGGACCAAGATCGAGCGAGCCCTCCGCGGAGGCCGAGCCGGCAACCCTGTGCGCAGGGTCTCTTGCTCCCCAGCAGCTCCTCGTCGCCACAAGCATCACTGCGTGATTTCCAACGTCTGGCTGATGTCGATGCATGTCATGCTCCTCCTCCTCCCCCTCCTCCTCCACCACCTCCTCCTACTACTATTACTTATCCTTCACCACCCGTTCGTCAAACCGATCAACTGGGCTCACTGTATCCGCCACTCTGCTCTCGCTTGTCGTCCTTCATGTTGGACACACACAATCAGATTAGAACGCATGGACAAAAACATACGGCATACAAGTCGACCCTTTGCTCTCGATGTTTTCGGTTATGGCCTCGTCCCGGATCCATTTCTCGTGGTTCCAGGGGCCAGAAGCGGCCCCGGATGCCGAAATCGAGAGGAATATCGCTGGGACTGAACAACATCACGACGTCGGAGGTCTGGGAGGGTTGGGTTTTCTCCCAGAAGCGCAGGCCATGATCTGCTTGGGGAAGTTGCAGCTGTTGAACGTGGTGTAGGCCTGCGCGATGTCGCCCTTGCCCCACACCTGCCGGGCAGTTGTGGGGACCTCGCCGCATCCAAGTGCGAAGTCCGAGGGTAGCATTCGCTCACGCCTCTCCAGTCTACGCCTCCACAGCCCAGCACGGCGTCGGGCGCAAAGAAACCAAATACTTCCAGTGGGGTCTGGTTGGCTCGCCTGCCTCCAAACATACCTCCTCCTGCTTTTAGCGCGGCCGACCTCCATTCGCACTCCCCCAATACACCGTCGTGGCACAAATACGATGTGATTTGCATGCAAGATGACTGACGACTGACGGAGTAGGCGGAGTAGAAATCACTCCGCGCGGACATGCATCCCGCCCCATTGTTCAGAATAGTTTGGGCGGAATCCGCCGACCCCTTGGGGGTCACGGCGTGTGAGATGCTTCCCCCTCCACAAACCCCTCCCCTGGGAGCCCGGTCCGACCGGTTCGGAAGGGGGGGGGTCCGACCGGTTCGGAAGGGGGGGGGGGGGGGGGGGGGGGCAAAGGTGCCGGCCGCACCCTTGGAGCCTCAGGGGGCCCCAAAACGGGCCAAGAGGGCCCCAAAAGGCCCCTCGGACGGTCCAAGAGGGCTACGAGTCGCCGAAAGACCGCTCCAAGACGCCCAAGATTGCCTCCAGACGGTCCCACAGGCCCCCAAGACGCCCCGAGAAGCCACCAAGAGGCGTCCCAAGAGGCCCTCCAGAAGCAAAAATCGTCCCGTTCCCCAGGGAAAAAGTATAATTTTAGCACACTCGCCTCATGGGCTTTCACGAGGCCCACAACGGCCCAAGAAGCCTTTAAGATCGACTCAAGATAGCCCAAGAGGCCCCCGAGAGGGCTCCAAGACGGCCCAGAAGGGCCCTAAGACGGCCCCAGAAACTTCCAAAACAACCCAGGAGGGCCCCAGGACGGCCCCAAGTGGAGGCCCAGAGAGGGAACCAGAATGAACATTTCGAACACTCGGCCCCGAATAAATCTGAGGAGGCGCCAATAAGCCCCCAAGAAACTCCCACGAGGCCCCCGAGAGGCCCAAAAGAAGAAGCTCTTAGAAGCCTCAAGACGGCTCCCAAGAGGCTTCAAAAATGCTGCCAGGAAAGCCCAGAGAAACCCAAAAGCGGAGCCGCGATCCACCAACCGCCCCCGACGAAATCCCAAAAAGCTGAAACCCCAAGATTCCCCAGAAATCGTTCCGCAAACTCCGTTTGTCACTCTTACTGCCGCCCCAAGGGGTCGGCGGTGCGGCGTCAGCCAATGAATAATAGCCGATCCCGTTTTGATAAAACAAAGGTATCAATGACTCCGCGGGAGCGCTGGAGCCACCTTCCCATGGTGGGAATTTTTATCAGGATCGGAGATTCCTGCCTCAGACCAAAACGCATAAACGTTCTCCACCACAATGCATACCTCGTCCTGCTTTTCCTCGTTGCCCAGACGGGAGGATGTAAGCGACGAAAGAAGGAGCAGCGACGAACATGCATGATGTGAATGATATATATATATATATATATACACTAGAACCACGCGCGCGCTTCGCGCGCGCTCAGGTTCTAGCGCAGGCCAGGGAAGAATTACAACATATTGGGATCCTCTTGGTAGAGCGAATTTTTCAAGCCTTATTTGGGTTCTGAGAGACTGGAGAGGCGAGAACGCGTAAACATCAGAAATCCACACAGAGTGGCATGATTGGGCCTTCTTGGCGGCGCTCTTGGGGTCTTTTGGGGCTCTAATGGGGCCCTCGAAGGCCGTCCCGGAGCGCTATTGGGCAGACTTGGGAGGCTGGGGCCGTCTTGGGGCTCTCTTGGGGCCCTGTTGGGCCCTCTTGGGGGTCTCCTGTGGCTCGCGCAGGGCTCTCTTGGGAGCCTTTTGGGCCCTTTGAGGCCGCTCTTGGGCCGTCATGGGGCTCTCTTGGGCCGTCTTGGTGCTCTCTTGGGCCGTTTTGGGGCCCTCTTGGGGCCTCCGGGGCCGACTTGGGAGGATCCAGGTGACTTCTTGGGACGTCTTGGACGCTCTCGAGACCAAACAAGCGAAGATGCTAAAAATGTACGTTTTCCGAAGGGAATGTGCCGATTTTTGCTTCGTGGGGGTCCTCGTTGGGGCCTCTTGGGGCGTTTTCGGGGCCTCTTGGGCCGTCTTGAAACCATCTAGGGCACTGGGAAGTCATCTTGACCAGTCCTGGGGACCCTTTGTGGCGCTTTCGGGTGCTCTTGGCAACCTCTTGGGCAGTCTGGAAGCCATCGTGGGCGCTCTTGGAGCGTCCCAAGGGCTGTCTTGAGCGGCCGGGGAGCGGCCGAGGAGGCCCCAGGGGTGGACCCAGATTGGGGGTTCGAGGCCGTGGTTTCGGGGCCCCGATTTCCTTCCCCGGGTAGATGTGTGTGTATATATATGTGTGTACAAATGTGAACACACGTTTCGACAGTAAGGCTTCATTGGCGCTTCGCGCCATGCGCTCTTGTCCTTCAAGTTCCGCACACAGGTGAAATAAGAAAAAGGGTGTGTGTGTGAGAGAGAGAAAGAAGGAATGGATGAGGGAGGGAGGGGGAATCATAATAAATTGCTGTCCCCGTCGTCGGTATCGTCTTTCCCTTCCGTGCCTGCATTATCCCTTTCCTCATTTGTTGTTTGTTCCTCTTCCTCATTCTCGACCTTTCTTCTGGACACTTTTCCATTCATTCCCTACCTAGGCTCTGCCTAGAAGGGTTCTTACTCGCTTGGCTTAAATGGGCCGGGCAGTGCAAACCGCCCCGGGCGGTTCCCCCAGTCCCTGGGAGCCAAGCAAAAGCAACAGCAAAGGTAAAAGCAAACGCGCGGTTCCCCCAGTTGCGCTCCCTGGGTGCCAAGCAAAAGCAAAAGCAAAGGCAAGAGTGAAGGCAAAAGCGAAGGCAAAGTAAAAGCATAGCATAGCATAGCATAGCGCAGCATAGCATAGCGCAGCATCTCATAGCATAGCATAGCATAGCCTAACCTAGCCCAGCATAGCATTGCGCAGCATAGCATAGCATAGCATAGCGCAGCACAACATCCACTACTGCTGCTGCTATCTATCTATCTATCTATCTATCTATATCTATCTATCTATCTATCTATCTATCTATCTATATATCTATCTATCTATCTATCTATCTATCTATCTATATATCTATCTATCTATATATCTATATATCTATCTATCTATCTATGTGTGTACTTATGCGTGTGTGTGTGCGCACGTATGTTCCATGCATGTTGTCCGTCTGTGGGCCATCTTGAGCCCTTAGTGGGGCAGCTTGAGCCCTTAGGATTCACGAAGGTTTCGCACATAGCACCGGCCGGGAGACATGAAACCCGACGTATTATCGCATGTCCTAAATATCTTTCTATTTCTGCAAATATATGTGTGTATACATAACACCCTTGTGGAATGCTGCATGTGTGTGTGCGTGTATGTGTGTGCATGTATTTGTTCAGCACCGCGTGGGGACAGCGCTACTACTACTACTACTACTACTACTACTACTACTACTACTACTACTACTACTACTACTACTACTACTACTACTACTACTACTACGACTACGACTACGACTACGACTACGACTACGACTACGACTACGACTACGACTACGACTACGACTACGACTACGACTACGACTACGACTACGACTACGACTACGACTACGACTACGACCTACGACTACGACTACGACTACGACTACGACTACGACTACGACTACGACTACGACTACGACTACGACTACGACTACGACTACGACTACGACTACGACTACGACTACGACTACGACTACGACTACGACTACGACTACGACGACGACGACGACGACGACGACGACGACGACGACGACGACGACGACGACGACGACGACGACGACGACGACGACGACGACGACGACGACGACGACGACGACGACGACTACTACTACTACTACTACTACTACTACCGCTACTGCTACAACTACGACGATGAGGAGAAGGAGGACGGCGTTTACCGTTCCTACGAAATGTTGTTTTCCTAGAGGCTCCAACTCCGAGGTAGGGTCGCACTGGGATAATGATGATTTTCCAACTTTTTTGGCAGAGGCTCCTCCTTGGGGGGTCTCTAGAAGACCTTTCGGATGCTTCTTGGGGGACTCTTGGGAACCTCTGGAGGCCTCCTGGGAACTTTTTGGGAGCCTCTGGGGGCTTCTTGGGACCATCTTGCCGCCAATTGCGGTTTCTCTCAACGACCAGTACTCCACGTGGGGGCGTTCTTTGGTCGTCATCGTGCGCCGTCTTGGTGCTTTCTTGGGGCCGTCTTAAGGCCCTTTTGGAATGTCTCGGGGCTCTCCTGGGCCGTCTTGAAGCCGTTGCGGCCCGTCTTGGGGCGATCTTGGGGGCCTCTTCGGCCGGCTCGGACGCCCGAAGACCGAAGAAACGGATGTCCCCAAATCATGTCAAATCTAAAGGAAACCCACATTTTATTACGCTTGGGGCACTGGGCTCCGCCGTCCATTTCCAGGGCCTGCAGAGTCCTTACTGGACTCCCGCCATCCATCCTCCCTGCCCCTCCCCTCCTCCACCCATCCGTAGCCATTTGGGCTCAAGCGCACGCGGCCAGAGCCCCATCCGTAGCATTTAGCTTCGCCATGGATTCCAGGTCGCGTCTGGTGCCTTCACGTGGCGCCTGGGGGCTCCGATTTCTTCCGCGGCTTTGTCTTTGCAGGTCTTTGCAGCAACTGTCGGATGGCGAGACTGGACGAATTCGTTGAGTACGGCCTTCAATTTGCTGGGCTTGTTGTGGAGTTGCTTTTATTGCGCTCGAGGGGTACCCAATAAGTCTGAAGCGCATGCCTGCGCTTCCACGCCTCATTCAATACCACATCAATTTGACCATGCTCATCCGCGTGGTGGTACTCGGGTTTTCGGGTCGGAGCCACTCATGGTCAGCGGTTCTTCCCCCCTTCATCTTGCTGCTCGAGGTGTCGGGTATTTCTTTATCTGTCATCTTGTTGCTCGTGTCACAGGTGGAGGTATTTCAATTTACCCCGGCCAGTGCTTGCGCTTAGGGGCCCTTGCTTGTCTCCCTAAGGAGTGGGTTGGGTCCAGCGAGGTGTTCCCAGGTTGCCGCCCGTTGCCGCCTCGTTACCGCCTCGTACGCTGGGTGGGTCTGGCGAAATTTCGTCGCGTTGCCGCCTCGTTGCCGCCTTGTTGTCGCCTCGTGCGCTGGGTGGCTCCGGCGAAGTTTCGCGACGTTGTCGCCTACTTGCCGCCTGGTCCAGCCAGGTTTCGCCACGTTGCCGCCCGTTGCCGCCTCGTCTCGTACGCTGGGTGGGTCGGGTGAGACTTCGCCACGTTGCCGGCCGTTGCCACCTCGTTGCCGCCTCGTGCGATGGGCGGGTTCGGCGAGAAATTCGCCACGTTGCCGCACAGTGCCGCCTCGTTGCCACCTCATGCGCTGAATGGGTCCAGCGAGGTTTCGCCACGTTGCTGCCTCACTTCCGCCTCGATGCCACCTCGTGCGCTGGATGAGTCTGGCGAGGTTTCGCCACGTTGCAGCCAGTTGCCAGTTCGTTGCCGCCTCGTGCGCTATGGGTTCGGCGAGGTTTCGCCACGTTGCCGCCCGTTGCAGCCTCATTGCCGCTTCGGATGCCGCCTCGTGCGCTGGGTGGGTTCGGCGAGGTTTCGCCACGTTTCCGCCCGTTGCCGCCTCGCTGCCTCCTCGTGCGTTGGGTGGGTCTGGCGAGGTTTTGTCACGTTGCCGCCAGTTACCGCTTCGTTGCCGCCTCTGACTTGCACCACGTACGCTGCACCACATGCCTCACACCATATAGCTTGCACCACATGGCCTGCACATCCAGTGCAAGAACTTACTGGGGTCCACGCTGGCTGGCATTGTTTCACGCTCCGGAGACGTACCCCACGTGCGGAGACCGAGGAGCACGAGGTGCCTCCATTGAGATGAAGGGCTTTTCCTAAGTCTTGTGCCAATGCTGTTTTCAAGTGGTGGGCCGTGATATTTCACAATGTCTGTTGCTTGGTGTTGGCTTTCAGAAGCGCAAAATGCTGCTAACAGTATTTCATGGTTGGGCTCTGATTTTCACATTCGCTCTGCTCTGGGGGATTGAATTCGTAAGCCGTAGAATTTCGTGGAGTTCGTTTTCCGGTGCGTGCGCGTGTTCCACCATGTCGTCTCGTTGCTCCGCGAGCTCAGGGCACACGCGTTGGAACTAGTCGGAGGTGAGGGGGTGAGATTGCAGTGAAACGGAGACCCCCTCTCCAGGAAATCTGTTTCGGCTTCGTGTTCGTGTCGTGCGCGCAGGCGAGGCAAAACTGCGTGGGCGGGCACGAGGACTGAACCCTCCTCTGGCTAGGGCGCCGCCGGGCCAAAAGACCGCCCCCCACAGATTGTCTGGCGGTGGCCCAGGGTGCCCCTCGGGTGTCCCGCCGGTTCCCCGTCGGTGTCCCGTCGGTGTCCTGCAGTGAGATCGATAGTGAGACACCGATAGAGAGAGAGACCGATAGTGAGATCGATAGTGAGATCGACAGAGAGCTCGATAATGCGATCGTCAGTGAGATCGACAGTGAGATCGACAGTGAGATCGATAGTAAGACCGATAGTGAGATCGATAGTGACATCGATAGTGAGCTCGATGGTGCGCTCGATAGTGAGACCGATAGTGAGCTCGATAGTGATATCTTTAGTGAGATCGGTGAGAGCGATAATGAGATCGATTGTGAGATTGAGGGTGAGGTCGATAGTGAGATCGATCGACTGAGATCGATCGTGAGATCGATAGTGAGCTCAATCGTGAGCTCAATAGTGAGATCGAAAGTGAGAGCGACAGTGACCTCGATAGTGAGATCGACAGTGAGATCGGTAGTGAGATCGATAGTGAGATCGATTGAGTGAGCCGTTGGTTCATCCACCCCCCGAACCTCCTTATCGCCCGAAGGGTGGTCGCCTAGGTGGAATATGAAGTTGTCATGGCGTCCACTTCAATTCACTCCACTCCCCTCTTCCTCATCTTCCTTCTGTCCAACTCCCTTCCCAGGTCAACCTTGTCTTCTTGATCTTACTATTACTATCATTATTCCTCATCCTCCTCCTTTTCCTCCTCCTTCTCCCTTGTCCCTCTCATCCCTCTCATCTGTCCTCCTTCCTCCTTCCTCCTTTCTCCTCCTTCTCCCCATCCTCCTCCTCCTCCTCCTCCACCTCTTCCTCCTCCTCCTCCTCCTCCTCCCTCCCCCTCTTCCCCCCTTCCCCTGGATCCATGATCGCGTTCTTTCCCTGGGATCCCTCACCGGACTCACCCTTGTGGACCATCAGCCCCCCGAGGCCAGGGAGGCCGACGGGCACCCGTGCGCGCGAACCTTCGCCTCTGTGAGGTCGGTCTCGGAGCCCCCGATCTCCTTCCCTGTCAAGGCCTCGGCTCGTCCAACAGGCACTCGCCGCCACAGCCGCCGCCGTCACCGCGGCCGTCGTCGTCGTCGTCGTCGTCGTCGTCGTCGTCGTCGTCGTCGTCGTCGTCGTCGTCATCGTCGCCCTCGCCCTCGTCCTCGTCGACCTCGTCGTGGTCCTCGCCGTCGCCCTCATCGTCGTCGTCCTCCTCGTGGTCGTCGAAGCCGTCGCCCTCGGAGCCGCCGCCGTCGAAGCCGCCGCCGTCAAAGCCGTCGTCGTCGTCGTCGTCGTCGTCGTCGTCGTCGTCGAAGCCGTCGCCGTCGGCCTCGTCGTCGTCGTCGTCGTTGTCGTCGTCGTCGCCACCGCTCGCCCCACGGTACGATACGGCGACTGTCTGGGCGCACAGACTCGGTTTGCCCCGGAGCTGGCCCCTGAAGGGCACGGAGGTTTGGAATGGAAAAGAGGAAGGAGAAGAAAGGAGGAAGGAGAAGAAAAGAGGAAGGAGGAGAAAGTAGGAGAAGGAGGAAGGAGGAGAAGGAGAAAAGGCTTGGAATGAAAAGGAGGTTTGGAATGGAAAGGGGGAGGAGGAGGAAGGAGGAGAAGGAGAAAGGCTTAGAATGGAAAGGAGGTTTGGAATGGAAAGGGGGGAGGAGGAGAAAGGAGGAGGCCTTCGGGCGCTCTTGGCCCTGTTTGGGTGGCGCGGGGGCTTCTCGTCGCCAAAGGCTGGGCTCCCTTCGCCAGGGTCCGTCGTCTTAGCCAGAACGCACCCCAGGAGAGATCCGGGGGGCAGTTTGGGATCGAAAAGGAAAACGAAGAGAGGAGGAGGAGGAGGAGGAGGAGGAGGAGGAGGAGGAGGAGGAGGAGGAGGAGGAGGAGGAGGAGAGAAGGGGGAGGGTGAAGGAGAGGGGGAGGAGGAGGAGGAAACGGGAGGGATGAGGAGAGAGGAGGGGGATGAGGGGGAGAAGGGAGAAGGAGGCGGAGGAGTGGGAGGAGGGGGGGAGAAGGGGAAGGAGGGGATTTGGGATTACGACGCTGATTGAGTTGGAAGCCTGTCGGCACGGAATTCGCAGAATCTTAGTCCGAGTAAAGACTCTGCACGAGCACCAAGGAGCTGTGAGAGCAGTGTCCGTCCCTCCGTTAGACGCGTCTCCTCGAATCACGCAGCTGGGCAGGCATCGGGTCGTACACAAGACCGACTACCGCATCGCGGGCACTCGGCCACTCGGGAGGGGGAGGGAGGGAGGGAGGGAGGGAGGCTGCATGATACCGAGAAGGAGAAAGTAAGAATGGGACGCAGATCTAACACCCCCAGCCTCGGGAGGAAGCCGGCAACGAGAGGGAGGGTAGAGGCAGGGACGCACACCTAACACCTATGGCACGTGCGCGCTTATTTCCAGTCAGTGCTGCACAATGAAGATAAAACGATGACGCCGAATGACAATGTGGACGACGACATCAATGCGCACCCGTACAGTCCGTCTTCCTGAGAAGGGAAGGAACATTTGCTTCGGCCCACAAACTGGAACGCACGACGAGACGGCGGCGGAGCACCGACGCGATCATCCGCGCGCTGGGCTGAGGGAGGAGCACGTGGCGAGGCCAACTGCTAATCAGTCGAGCCTCCTCCTCTTAAGGAGGGGGCTTCGGACAAACCAGTCTTGCCATTCGCGGGAGGCAGCGATATGCTCAGCTAAGTGTGCATCTGGGTCGGGTGGAATTCGCGTGGATGGCGGGGAAGTGGGTAGATGCCCCAGATGCACCCATCTATGCACATGCCATCAAAAAGATCATCATTCACTAGGGCATTGATGTGAACAGCTGATGTCACAATCTCGCAGCGAGCGAAAGAAGTTGAAACGACTGGGACGATCGCCTCCCTCGCCTGCGCCTTGGCGTGCTCCTTGTCGAGCGTGGCCTCCAGCGATTGGTGCGCTTCGCAGGTGGTGCTCTCGTCCTTTGCAACCTTCCTGGCGGCCTCCGCCGCCGCCGCGGCGTCCTTGCAGAATGCGCCGCCAGCAGCCCGCTCCACAGAAAGCCGCACGTAGAGAGGCAATGTAGGCGATCATGTCGGTCGCAGCGGCAACAGCTCCTGAGATACCGAAGCAGGCAAGATCGGGAGGCCCCTCTGGTCACAGGGCAGCGGGCGCGCGCGCCAGCGGCACCAACGTCTGATGGACGGGCGGGCGACGAAGACCACCTCGATCAGGTGCGGTAGCTCCGCGAACGATCAGCACTGACACGAGCAGCCGGCACCTCACATGGTACAGCAGGCCGAAGGTGAAGAGACCTCTGCACGTTGGGCCGCTGCGGTAGCGAGGCTGGCGATGCCGCTCATGCGGGGCTGACGCCCGACCCTGGCCGCGTAACCGAGCCTCTGCGCAGCAGCACGAAGCGTCGGTCTCGGTCGGCTGCAGCAGCGCCGGCCAGAGACATCTCGTGGCGCGCGGCCGCCTACGCCTGCCGGGAAGTGCCCGGCGGGGGCGACGCGCATGGCAGCAGTCCCGTGAGGAGGTGGCCAGAATCAGAGCCCTGTGTGCTGCGAACGGCACCTGACCCGGGACGGCCGCTTGAGCCAAAGTGACAACGGAATGGATGGGGGGACAACAAAAACACGACGGCCGAGGCCCGCGCTGGCATCGCATTGCCCCAAGAGCTCGAGGCCGCCTCGAAATCGCTCATGATGTCGCGGATGTAGCCGTTGTCGGCACCGCCTGACGGTCGGGACGCGTAACGTTTTGCAACTCTCGCCAAACACTTCCTTGGGCTTTATGATCCTACCTGGTCGCCGTCCTGATAGCTAGCAGAAGCATGGACGGCAGGTCCGTCTCAAAAAGGAGCTCGCCTGAATTGCAGGACCATGGGGCGCTCGTCCTACAGGGGGTGCAGTTCACGCAGTGAACAGGAACTCCTGTATGGCTCTGACGGGGCGGGCGTGTTGCAGCATTGCTGATGTATCTTGGGCTTACTGTCCTCCCACTCCTCCCCATCCTCCTCACCACCACCACCATCATCATCATCACCACCAACATCACCATCACCATCACCATCACCATCACCATCACCATCACCATCACCATCACCATCACCACCACCATCACCAGCACCAGCACCAGCACCACCATCATCATCATCATCATCATCATCATCATCATCATCATCAGCATCATCGCCATCATAATCATCCCCATCAGCATCATCATCAACAGCATCGTCATCGCCATCGCCATCATCATCATCACCATCATCATCATCATCATCATCATCATCATCATCATCATCATCAGGAGGTTCCCCACCCGTCCTTCATTTTCAAAGCAGTGGTATCTGTCATTCGCATGTGGGGCCCAAACGAGAGCGGCGGCGACAAGGGCGGCAGCAGCGAACGGACAGCTGAAACCAAACTCATTGCCGCTCAAGTCTGTGATTGCGGCCCGCCGTGAGCAAGGGCGGGAAGTCGAGAGACGAGACAGGGCGGGAGGCTTGAGCGAAATAGAACGGACTCTGTGCTGCACCCCCTACACGTTCGCAGGACAAGTCGAAGGTTCCCCACCCGTCCTTAATTTTCAGAGCAGTGGTATCTGTCATCCGCATGTGGGACCCAAACGAGAGCGGCGGCGACAAGGGCGGCAGCAGCGAACGGACAGCTGAAACCAAACTCATTGTCAGACTTCGAAGTATCCAAAGATCGCACTCGGTTCTCTATGGCACGGCACACTGGTGTTAAGACGAATGGGGCGGGGGGGGAGGGGCGGAAGGGGAAAGAGCGGAGATTCTGCTTAAGGACGCGATCAAAAGCGGCGTCAAGGAACACGTCGGCCATCGCATTACACAGGGGTTTGGGATACGCGGCGGCACGAACGGTCCAATGATGGACACCGAAGCCATCACGGCCCTGGAGGATCTGATGTTTCCTCCCGGAGAGCGTGTAAAGCCCGTAGATAGGTCGACACCGTTTTGAAAGATCGCTGGCCCGAGGAAGCAGGACAACTCGGAACCTGGTTGGCTTACACCAGGGCTCACCCCAGCCGCAATACTTAGTAATCACGTCTTGGACACCAGGCCAACGTAAAACACGCCGTGCGGAGTCTACTCTCCACATGTAGGATGACTGTGGGTTCTCCCATAAAAAAGGAACACGCACCTGCTGACAAGCTTTGAAGATCTTGATAGACACCTGTAATATTCGATTGCCCTCGTCTACCACGACTTGGAGAGGAGGCGGGAGGGAGGGGAGGCCGAGGGGGTGTTCACTGCTGCGGATGGCGTTGTGGCCACCCCGCGCAATGGAGAAACTCTTACACGGAACGCCCGCAAGAAGCCCGAGACATTTGTCACTTCTAATCCTGCGAATGATACGGTTCAAGACAGCGGGCCGAAGGAGGTCCCCTTTTGGGCCCTGCAACACATCGAACGAAAACACAGAAAAGCCACGCTTTCTCAAGGTGTTCGAGAAGTGCGCAGAACCCGAGAACATTTCGATGAAGAAGAACTGACCACATTTGGCACGGGACGGGAGCGAGCGAAGCCTCTGATTCAGACGTTGTTGAGCTGCGCGGGCAGCTCGACCTCCGCGCGCAGGCAATAGGCCCGCGCTGCCGTTGTCATCTGCGACCAGACCGCCTGGATCAGGCCTCGCTTCTCGCGGCGGCGAACGGAGGCGGGCTGCCTCCAGCGTCCGCGCCGCTGGACCTCCAGCAACGAGATCCTCCCCGCGAAGCGGTCGATGGAGGCCCCGCTGTGCCGGCCCATGCACGGCGCTGGCTTGAGCCCGTCGAGGTCCAACGAGCTGGCCGCCGCTTCGAAGGCCTTCTTCACTTCTGGCATCTTGAACGCCCAGAGCGGGTCGGTCGGCTGGCCCTGGCTCAGCTTCACGATGGGCGACGCCAGCCATGGCCTGGCTATGTCGACCGTCTCGTCCATCTCACATGTATTGCTCGGCCTCTTCAGGTAGTCGGGGTCGATGTGGATCGTAACCATGGGCATCTTGGCCTGTGGCGGCAGCGCCTGGCCTTTTGTCAAGCGGAAGGCCTCCCCAGGTCGCAGGTAGGTGCCCACCATCAGCAGCCAGTAGAGAGCCATCCCCCCCTTGCCACTGATTCGCCACAGGCGTTGGGCGATCCCCGTGCAGGTGGCCCAAGGCAGCGGACGGCGCGCCCGCGACGGCCGCAGCATCCGCCAGCCTCGCAGCGCGCGGTGAGCGCGGGGCAAGGCCAGGCGGCCCTTGGACTGGTAGTCGGGCACGTGCATGGCGATCGCGGCGATCAGCTTCTCGCATGTGGACGCCACCTTGCCTGCCAGGTAGAGCTCGTCGAAGAACCTCACCACGGCGGCGCCCAGCAGGGGCGCAGCCGCGCCCAGCGTCTGCAGCTTGCTGGCCAGCAAGAACTGCTCCAGCAGATTGCGACACTGGTGGCGGCTCCGCTTCCCTACAGCGGCCGTCTCGGTGATGGAGAGCTGGCGAGTGGTGTCCCGCGCCTGCCCCCCGCTGTCCACCCGACGCCTGACGGACCTCGGCAGTTCCCGCAGCGGGACAGCGGTCGCCGTCGGCGGCGCAAAGCTCGGCAAGAACGGCCGCGCCTCCAGTCGCTGCGCGAGAGGCCCCACAGCACGAGCCAGTCGGGCTCGGGGGACCAGAAACCCGGGGCGCCCGCCCAGGGTCTCGGCTCGTCCCACAGCTGTGGCGGGCGGCACACGCGACGCTGCAGCCTGGTCCAGTGGCCCAGCCAGTCGCGGTGTCCGCGTGGGCCGTCTCGGCAGCAGCCTCTCTGAGGCCAGGGGGGGCCCGCGCCAGCCGGCGAGCGACAGGCAGTCTCACGGTGCGGGCGCAACTGCCGGCCCTTCGCGGCAAGCTCTCGCCACCTTGTTCGGTCACCACTGGCGCTGTCAGCACGCTCACGGGCTCGGCTGGCGCCATCGGCCCCATTCAACTCGCTAGGCACCCATCGGCGGTGGACGCGGGCCCCCGCGGCAAGGGCAAGGGCGGCCCCTCGGCGAAGTATATTGAGCAAGTAAATGTCACGGCGTCGTCCTTTTCGAGAGTGCAAGTGTGAGTGCAAGATCGCCCCCCAAGACAACGCGTTTCTTCCACCAGGAGTCCGCGTCCGACAGGATCAGCTTGACGGCGTGTAGATATCCTCTTGCTTCTTTACGGTGCATAGGCCCCTTCCTAAACATCGGGACGTAGTGCATCAGCTCCCACTTGGAGCGGCGGAGGTAGTGCGCCGACACTTCGGGGAAGCTTTTGAAGACTCACCCCTCAGGACTGCATGCGACGGATCCGCCTCTAGAAGCGCAGCCTCGGCCGCGCGGGCAGCGCGATCGCGCGGGCGCCAAGTCCCGCCCTCCTCGCGGGTGTGGCGGAATCGCCGCCGCTCATGCCAGCGGCCCGCCGCAGCGACATCGGCGACGCCCCAGGCGGCGGAGACGGACGCGCGGCCAGTCTCGCAGGCGTCGGCCACCACCACCTGCGACGACCACGGCGCATCCAGGCGCGCCTCCAGCGTGATCAGGATGCCGCGGAAGATCCTGAGCTCCTTTCGAGCTGAGGCCCACAGCGGCCGCGCTCGCTGGCACCCCTGCTGCGCGAAGCCATAGATGGCGCCGAAGCAGCTGAGGCTCTCCCGCCTGCCGAGCGCCGCGAAGGTGGAGTGGCCAAGGAGGTGCTCGATGTCGCGACCGGTGGCCCGCGGCCGCCGCTGCAACAAGAAGCCGATCCCGAGGCGCAGCTTCCAGAAGCGGCGCGGCGCCAAGGTCGCCCGCGCAGGGCGGCCCTCCAGCTGCCCGCCCAGCATCATCCTGGCCTCCGCGGCGTCGGACTCGTCGTGCACGGCCAGACCAGCCGCTCCTAGCGACTGGGACGCGAGCCGCCTCGCGCGCGTGACCACCTCGCGGTCCGCCCCCACCACCAGCGCGTTGTCGACGTAAAGAGAGTGGGCGGGCTCGGAGAGCGGCGAGGGGGGCGGCTCGAAGTCCACGGCGCGCAGCTCAGGCCTCAAGGCAGGGCACTGGTCCAGCGCGCGCTCGCAGGCCCGCTGCGCAAAGTTGAGCGCCCAGTTCCAACCCATGGGCGCCACGGCCAACTGAGGATACAGCCGTGTCCACGGCGCCACGCGGCGACCGCCGAGCTTGCTGATCCCCAACTCGCCGGCGGTCACCGCGGGCAGGCAGAAGAGCGGGCGCAGGTAGGCTTGCGCTGGTAGAAGGCGTTCTGCACGTCGACCCCCGCGAAGTAGAGCGAGGTCCCAGGCGGCGCCTCAAGATCCGAGAAGCCCGCGGCCGAGAAGAGGCTTGCGGGCGGAGAAGGCCCGATGGTTGCTCCTCCTGCAGTCCAAAACCATTCTGATACGGGAGTCCTTCTTGGCGACGAAGAACACCCCCACGTCCTCGACCCGAGTCTTGCCAGGCGCAAAGACGCCTCTGGAGATCCCCGACTTCACAAACTCCATGTACAGCGCGCGGCCCCTCTCCAGTACAGGGCCCATGTATAACGTAGGCCTCCCGTCCTCCCCCACGACTGCGTCAAAGCTCTGGGGCGGCAGCAGCAAGGCGTGGTCGAGGTCAAGGAGTGATCATCGACCGCGAGGCCCGAGGCGGTCAGCGAGCCAGCCAGGTTCGTTCCCCAGGTTGGGCCAGCTCACGAGGTGTGGTGCATATGACCTCAGCGGTAGGTCGTTGGACGTGCCGCAGTGTAGACACGGGCGGCCCAAAAGCTCTGAGCAGGCTTCCTGGGCCGACGCGCCAGCGGGCGCCTCCATCTGACGGTAGAGGCCGCGAACGCGTCGAAGAAGAAGGTTGTCCACGTTCGAGAGGCGCTCTGGCGCGCACTGCGGTGTGGTGTAGCCCCCAAGCAGGTTGAGGCACTCCACGGTTGTATGCGTGACCGAACCGAACGGGAAAGTCCCGGCGGAGGTGGGGGAGTAAGTGGC